AAGAGGACGCCCGAAGTCGCATGACGGATGGTCAGGACGAAGCAAGAGATAGCTTCCCGAGTGGTCGTACTTGGAGCGGCTGGGATTAGGCCTAGCAGTCCGGGAGCTGCCATTCGAATAGTTCGATTACACACGTTTGCCCCAGTCATGCCTAGCAAAAGTAGCCATCTGAACATGACGTACTGTGCACCTTTCCTGCAGTCTGCAAGTGGCCTATCACCGTAAGGTGTTCGAAAAGGCAGTCTCAGCAGGAGCGGACTATTAATTGTGGAAGATGCCAAGAGGGCGGAGCAGACAACATTTTTGCGTCGTGTAGGCGTTTCCAAAGCATAGCGGAACAGCACCAACGATGTAACACCGCGGCTAGAACACTACAAATGCAAGCGTTAATGCGGCACGTTAATGCGGCATTCCTCAGCTACATAGATCGGAAGTGCAGCACTGCCTCACATCAGTGTGGTAGTGAGGGCGGCGTCGCCCTGGAATCAATCGTCAAAAGAAATACCTTGCGTACGCTGGGGCTTGATGATGATAGATTTCGGCAGAGGCACTCACAACGCTGAATAGACCTTCATTGCCTGAAGGAGGTAGTGGACCTCTGGTAATTGGTGAGAGTAGGTGTTGTCTGCATGCGTGGAACAATTCGAAAACAGATCGCCACACAACACCTTGCATTCTTCTTGCATCAACCAAAATGAAGCATGAAAAGGTTCAATGGAAGAGCAGCCGTGCGTAACAACTCTCTAATAAGCAGTGCAGAAGTGCAGAGCGGGCTTCGCCTGTCCATCGAAAAACAGTTGAAAGCAATTACCTCCACCACTAGCCACAGAAGTATGTGAGGGATTTCTTGCTTTGGTTGTTGAGTTGAATTGAGGCTAAGGAGGGACGAGGCATCAACTGTTTTCGGTTACGCGGGGAACGACTACACACGCACAACTGTGGTTATCGATCTATTGGGGACATCTATGGCACGTCTTGGTGTACCCCGCAGCTGGGTTTTGCGAGCTTAATGAGTGAAGGCTTGCTTGAGGACGTTTTTCTAACAGTACTAAGCGAACCAGTAGAGCACATTGTGTCCAGATACGTTACGTAGTCAGGATAATCAGGTATTCTATGTGGCGTAGCATTAAATTAGAAGTGCATAGAGAAGAATGCAAATAAAATACTGACATATCGGGTTCCTTTTGAAGCGTTGCCTTTGGAACTTCATATGCTACTAAGTGCAGTTTTCTTCAGCGCCTGTTCCAGAAGAGTGGACTTGAGACACGGCGAGAGTTTGAAGAGTTGTTCTGAACAGTTCCACGCCTTCTCACTCCTCTCTAACTAAAGAACTGGACAGCAAATCACAGACTGATATATTGACGTAAGTATTGCAGGTTGCCACTCCACTTCGTGGTCATGAAAAAAGCTCATCACTGGACACTGGATTGTAATGCGCATGTACTTCAATGGATTCCCTCGACGCCTCTAGAGGCCAGAAATGGGAAACAGGTGGTGACTCGATGGAATGGGACTAGTATACAGTGGGACTAAGGCTTTGCGGCCTTGACTGCACGCTGTGGTCCAAGGCTCAGGGATGATTGAGGCGCCACTATTGGTGCCGGAGCAGCCCAGATGGTCCAGACACACACCTTTTACGGAGGGTCCCCCGGATAGACTTATGTGACTTACGTGTAATATAGGCTTCGGTCCCTAATTGGGATACTTTAAGGGAAGAAGCCATGTTTCGAGGATTAATCATTCGAGACAATCAGCCGGTGAAGGCAGATTCCACGTAGTTCGCTGATGACAGCACAGGGTACTACACTGCCACGGTCATGGACTGATTTGAAGAACTGCCACAAGGAACTTTGAACTCCAACTGTGAGACAGCTCTGAGATATTGTGAAGCTGTTTCATATTTGTACACTTGTTTAGGAGAAAACTGCCGCAGATTATGCCCCTACTGACCATCTAGTGACCAGCTTGGGGCTGGTAAAGGCATCATGAAGCCCCAAAAGTTGAACACAGCGAGCAATGAAATCTTATGGCTCTGGTACTGGAAAACGGTCGACGTTGAGTATACCGCTGTCTTATTTTTGTCTGTATATCTTCCAGCCGTCCGCCAGCTGCTTCCCGGCAGCAGGAATCATGAAGCCCGAAAAGCTGAGTTGAACCTTAACAGCGATCTGTCTTCATCTACAGAACGCGAAAGCTTGCTTTCGAGTAGTTCACTTAAACCAAGATGCATACTGAGCCAGTGCTGCCTAATTCGCGTGTCTCACAGTTTCGTTGACCAAGGGAACCGCGCAACAGCTGCAGAGAGTACTCTAGAGTAGCTGCGAATAGTGCCACGCTACATTCTTTGGACAGCATATGGACTGACGCTGAAAGCAATCTTGTAAGTATTGAGAGTGTGCCCCCACGTACGTGAGGCGCAGAGTCTGGTCCAATGGGCACACCATCCCGTAAACAACTCCAGCAGTGCATGCTGCCCTCTGGTATCGCCCATCACGGTTCTGAATCGCATCCACGAAAACAAAGAGTTCAGCGCTTCGCGGATGAATCACCCTTTATCCAGCGTAAAGAAAACAAACCGTTTGTATCGTCTTGGACTCGTCTACTAGGCGTAGCATTCACCTCGTTGGCAGCAGCGTATTTTTTGCTGCTTTGTTTTCGCTTTATAGAGTCTGCGCGTCAGTGGTCCCCGTCCACTAGATCTCTCGCAGCCCGTCGAGACGAGTCGTGCGATTCAGGCAGTGTGTCTGGGGATGGCGATGAAGGTGGCAGTGGGCCGACGGGGGATTCGGCAGAAGGTTTAGAGCTAGAGAGTTTTGGGGAAGGCAGCCCTTTGCTGCATCATGAGGCTTTCGGATTACAAAGCACTGCCGGAGGAACACAAGAAGAAGTAGTTGCTGCTGGGTTACAAGGCGCTGCTGGAGGTGAAGAAGCAGAAGCTGAAGAAGCAGAAGGAGACTTCATGGACGCATTTTATGATGCGGTTAGGGAATACGTTGGTGGCGTTGCTTCTGATTCAGAAAAATCACACGAAACATGTGACTTGCACTTATGGGAAAGCCGGAACATGCCTGCGGAAGAAGAACATCGCTTAATACGTCTCTTTAGGCGCATGCAAGAGGCTGCGAGTTCATGCCGATCGTTGCTGCCAGTGTTGACGCGCAGACACCGTTTGCAGCTGACAAACCACGTGTTGAAGCTGCTCGCCCTGGATTTGGGAGCCATTTATCTAGTTAAGGAGGATAAGGAGCGTCGTAGAAGTGCTGTAGGCGACTCTCTCATTAAGCTGGCAAAGCACGCACTTTACCACGGGCATGATGGCGCAGGTAGTAAGAAGCTCCGCAGCAGGCTCATAACTCTGACAACTTTGATAACAGAGTTAAAGCAGCCACGGCATCTATATAAGGAAAAGGCCCCTGAAAAATACAAAAGGAA